AGATAAGATAAATAGAGAAAACACAAAACCAAAGAAAGGTAGAAAGATGTTGCATGAATATAATCAGAAGTATCGTACTGATTACTCATTTTGACAATATATTATACTGAATAAATAAAATAAAAATAAAAATCAACACTTCTTGACAATCAAAAATTTATTCAATCATTTTCATTTTATTTTAATCAATTGTTTCTTCTTTATAGTATTTCACTTTTTTTTTCTTTTCTATCGAAAAAATAAAATTTATTTGTTGAAGTAAATATTAGCAGTTAACAAAGGCTCTCTCTCTCTAACTATGTTCATATCGATTAAAACAGTGAATATACCATTATTATTGATAAAAAAAACAAAAAGAAAACAGTCTATTTGTTCGATCTATTAACAGATATATTGAAATTTCTCTCAGTAAAATAATAATTAATCAATTTCTATATATAGTCATATAAATAAATAAAAGTATTGTTGATTAATTATCTAAAAACGAGATAAATTCAATATAAAAATATTTCTATTTAATCATCTATTAGTAGACATAATTTAACGCTTTTTATTTTCGACTGATTTATTTTGTTGACCTTGCTGTTTTTTGTTTTTCGTTGCATATGTGATTATAGGTAGGTCATGAAACGCATCGCTGTTTTTCTCTTTCGAAATAAAAAAAAAACAAAAAACATTAGTAAAGATGATAGACAAAAAATTTGAATTCTATTGATTTGAGTATAAATGAGAAAATCTATATAAATAATATTTAAATAAAGTAAATTTGATTATTTTAGGTAATAAAATTGAACTAGTCAATTTTTATTTAAAAAAAAACAAAAACAAAAAGAAAAAAAAATCTCTTATTAAGTATTTAATTAAAAATGGAATATGATAATGAAAAACAAAATATTTCAAATGAAAATTTATTAAATAAAAATTATCGAAATAATTTTTTTGAAAAATCAATAAATGAAATAAAATATACAAAATTAAATATTGGAAAATCTTTATTTATTCGAATAATATTTTGTTTATTATTATTATTATTAATATTATTTCGTGGACATATTATTTGTTTATTTGGATTTTTAAATTGTTATTTAACATGGCCATTTACTTCTCCAGTTCATATTAAACTTGATTTATTAAATTTATCAAATAAATTCGGTGACCAACATGAATATATTCCACGTCGAATGCATCATATATTACTTGGACCATTAAGTGTATCACCACCATCAAGTTGGATATCAGCAAGAAATTCATGTATTGAACTTCATTCAAATTTTGAAAAACATTATTATTGGACAGATTTAAATAGTAAAGAATTTCTTGAAAAAAATTATCCATGGTTTTTAAAAACTTGGAATTCATATAAAACAAATGTACAAAAAGCTGATTCATTAAGATATTTTCTTCTTTATCATTATGGTGGAATATTTCTTGATATGGATTTATATTGTCTTCAAAAATTAGATGGACTTTTTTATTATTTAGATAATAAAATATCATCTGATGAACATATTTTTTTAGCTGTTAAAGCATTTCCTGTTGGAATATCAAATGGTTTTATGATATCAACACGTAAACATCCACTTCTACAACGTGTTATTCAAAATCTTGAACTTTATAATAGAAATTTTATTTTACCACATGCAACTATAGTTATATCAGCTGGACCAATGTGTATATCAATACAAATACAATTAAATCGTTCATTATGGAATTCCATATTAGTTCTTGATGGAAAAGAAAATATGATTGGAGGAAAAACAAATACACCTTTATTTAGACATTTAGGAAGTGGATCTTGGCATAAAGCTGATGATATGTTTTTTAAAAATATTCCGATGAATATTCAACGACAAAATCAAACATTTTCAATATCTGTTATTGTTTTTATTATTTTTATTTTCATCTTTTTTATTGGAAGAAACAAAAATTTTATTAAGGTAACTTTTATTTTTATTAATAAGCAATTTTATACATTATTTAGAATTATACCCAGCAGTGTCACATATCCAAGATTTTGGAGATGCTACCACGTCTCCCGCGGGAGATGCCGCATCTCGCGCGAGAGATGCGGGTGTGGGTGTGGGGGATGCGCATCTCTAAAGGAGATCTTACATCTCCAGTGGTGAATGACCACATCTCTCGAGTGTGGGTGTCGCATCTCCAGCTGGAGACGCGGCATCTCCCACGGGAGATGTGGTGGCATCTCCAAAATCTTGGATATGTGACACTACTCTAAATATGATAGAAATTATTATTTTTTTTTCAATTGAAATATATCCCGAAATAGTTTTATAAGTGACTAAAATTTTTAGATTAATAAACAATAAATTTCATTGCTGAGAGAGTTTCATTATTGAATTTTCATTTAAATAATAAAACTTGTTAGAAATCATTATTGAACTAATTGTCATATTAACATAAATAATTTGATAAAATTCAGCTAGTTTATTGAGAGATACATTCTATCACTAATCAAACTTGTTAACAACCAAATATATCAGTGTTTTGTTATCGTCATATATTATATGTAGATCAATAGATGAGTACATAACTCTACTCTAAACTGTTTGATTGATAAACGATGCCTTATCATTGTTGAATCCTTATAAGAAATTAATATTTATTTATTTATTTTATAGAATATTATTCAACGAGTTTTATGAATAAAATCTGTTGATAGATATATGTATATTAAAATGGTAAAGAAGAAAACGTCAATAAAATCAAGCATGAATATTCATCTCAATTAAATGATAATAACATTTTTTTATTTTATTTTCACTATATAAAAATACATAATCACATCACATTACATCAACTGGTTTATTTATATTTATTTATTTACTTCACAAATTATATTTTTATTTATCTTCCAAAAATATATCCGTGAGTTTATTCGATCAAATCAATCAGTTCATTTATCAACAAATAGAAAGAAAATAAAATCATTTCTTTCTAAAAAAAAAAATCCTTGAATAATACAAATAAACATTGATAAGAACAAAAAAAAAAAAAAACAAAATAATTCGATAAATTTGAATTGATAAATTTTTGTTTGTAAAATAGTACATTAAGATAAATGTACAAATTCCATTTTTATGTTTATATGAATAAATAAAATAATGTGATTATATACGTACAGGGTGGTTCAAATGTTACCGGTCAGTCTTAAATTACGAATAAATTTTGATAGGAACAAGATCTAGACCTACGGTTTTCACCATTCGAAAGAGTGATGTTCGAACCATCGATCTATATTATATTCACTAAGACGAAAGTTGCTTTTTAATTGATATTCTTTTTTTTTGTGTATTTTCATAAATTTTCACAATAATCTCGTCTCAAATTACGGCAAAATGTAGCTCAAAAAAAAAAAAAGAATATCAATTAAAAAGCTCCTATGAAAAAGCATCTTTCGTCTTAGTGAATATAATATAGATCGCTGGTCCTTTCGAATGGTGAAAATCGTAGGTCTAGATCTTGTTCCTATCAAAAGTTAATTTGTAATTTAAGATTGGCCGGTAAGATTTTGACTACCCTGTATATATATGTTTGTTTTTTTAAATTGAATAAAACTTCTGTTTTTAGATATTAATTTAAGAAAAATTCAATGAAAATAATTGGAATAATAAAAAATCTTTCACGTAATATAAAATATTATCGTGATAAAAAAGATGAAGAAGATTCAATAGATTTAATTGATTCATTAAATGATAATGATAATAATAATAATAAAGAAAAATGTCGAATAATAAATCGATTAATTCGTCGAATATCATATTCATTTATAATTCGATCTATATTATTAATACCATTATTTATTTATTTATTATTAATATTAACTCCAATTAAAAATATTCGATCATTTATTCCAGAAGAAATAAAAAAAACAAATAATTTTCTTATTCTTGTTGCACATCCAGATGATGAATGTTTATTTTTTAGTCCAACTATATTATCATTAATATCTAATGATAAAAAAGGTCATATTGTTGTTATTTCAACTGGTAATAGTAATGGTTTAGGACCAATTCGAGAAAAAGAATTAAAAGAAAGTTGTCAACGATTAGATATTGATTTATCCCGATGTATATCTTTAAATTTAACTAATTTACAAGATAATCAACATCGATGGTGGCCGAAAGAAAATATATCAGAATTAATTGAAATATATATAAAACAATATAATATTGATTTATTAATAACATTTGATCGTGGTGGAATATCTGGTCATATTAATCATAAATCAATTGCTATTGGAGTTGAATATTATATTGAAAAAACTTTTAAAACTCCATTAATATATCAAATATCAACTGTTCCATTATTATTTGAATTTTCTTCAATAATTGATTTATTTCGAACAATAATTAAATTTTTACCTCGATTATTTCGAAGTTTTTTTTCAACAATATTTCCATTTTTATTTTCTCCACCAAATGATAAACATGCTTTATTTGTTATTTCACCATTTGGATATTTAAAAGGTTTAAAAGCTTTTCATGCTCATCGTTCACAAATGCTTTGGTATAGACATATTTATACTACATTTAGTCGACATATGTTTATTAATGATTTGACTAAAGTTTCACATTATTTATAATTCTTTTTTTTTAATTAAAATCAATTATTCAAAATGTATATTTTATTTTGGTTAATTGTTGAATAAATAAATACGGATTTTATAATGTTCACCATGAATTAATTGATTGATGATGATCATTAGATTTGTCAGTACATTCAAAGAAGATTATTTTCTCTCTCTCTCTCTCCTAAAATTCAATATCACTCTCGAGATAATGATTGTGAAACAATGCATAGAGTTCAGATTCAAATATGAAACAATACATATTTTAATTCATTTTATAGTAATAGAAACAAATAGTTAACTGAAGCTTGAAACATCATACAAATTTGAATGATACTCAATTGAGATTACTTGACAGATTATTCGACTAAAAGTACCGAATTACGACAGTATCAGATAAGTATTATATCCATTATTGAAACACTGATTTAGAGGCCTGTAGGGCAGAGCAGGGTAAGATGACACGATTTTTTACAGGGCAGGATGCAGGTCACTTGGATCATAACCTGTCAACTTGTCATAGAAATGCAGCCGTCACAGTGCTTTAAAAATTCCAACGGATCTTAGTAGTGATTTTGAGCTAGATTAAGCCATTTACAGGTTCCTCCATTCTGAATGATATTGATGTTTTATTTCTCTTTCAGATATTTCATTTCAACACAAATCATTAACATGTATTCCGAATTTCTCTTCTTTTTTTTTATTCAAAAACTGCACTTTTATCAAGTTGAGGATTTTATGGACTACTCTTGGGTGTTTCCAATATCAATAGGTTCATATTGAAGAGGCTC